CTGTTGAAATTTTGCTTGAAATTTTGTATTATTTGGTGAATGAAAAATTAAGCCAAATTTAAATCACTTAAATACATGAATTATTGGAAAAGTGCGTCAAATATTATGAAATATTCTAAAAATTATTTGGCTGAAAATGTGTCTTTCTATATGAAAGATTATGACCATTGACATTATCATTTTCCAAAAGACGTGTCTCGTCTCTTTAAATATAGAAACTAATTCCAATAGTTATGTCTCTTCCATAGGTTGTGTCTTTTGAGACAAACATTTTCAACAACTATGTATTGACCTCATATGTTTGGATTTAATTTTTTTAGGAATTTCAATTCATTCCATAATTCTATATTATTAATTTTATGTCAAGTTACTTAAAATACTTTGTAGAAATGATTATGTCTTGCATCAAAGTCATGTTTATGGTAGAGAGGAAATTTCGTTCGAGTTCGCTGGTCAAAGTCATTTGGAGTGCTCATATGGCCTGACGTGATCGTTGTATCTTGGATGATGATTGCTGGAAAATCGTTAGCACCGATGCGAAGCAAATTCATTTTAAGGACCAAGTGTCAAATACTTACCTCAACCAAAAATTCATCACTTTCATCTTTCTTCCTTCATTTTCTGATTTCTCTTAATTATGGTTTGATTTCACAAACTGATTAACATTATTTACATGTTTGTTCTACGAGATTTGATTCAAAGAATAACTTGCTTTCGTTCAAGAATTGAAAGAGATGAATCCATATTTATGTATTCAGATTCGGTAACTATTATTGTTTTGCTTCACAAATTTTATTTCGGTAAGTCGAAATTACGTTTCGATTTCATGCAAATAAACGTTATGCTTTTGTAAATATAATATGCACATAATCGGTGTATTCCTTAACAGAAACTGAATTTAAGGAAAAATTAATTTTAAAAATAATGGATACAAAATTGGGGCCAAGTCCATGGTGACCCATAGTGGTAGTTTGTCCAACGCTTAGGGGTGACAATGGATCGAGTCGGCATCTACCCATGAGCTCAAGATTTTATTTTATTTTTTAACATTTAAAAAAAAAAAATTACTCTTTTGTTTCCATTTTTTTGTGAGTCCACGAGCTCGTGAACTTTAGGCTCATGGGCCCGGTGGTGAGTCGAGCGGATTTGGCTCACCTAACAAGTAGGCCCCTAGATTCGGGCTCGTCCAAATACGAGCCGAGCAATCAAGCCGACGAGCCGCTCGACTTGCTTGCCACCCCTACCAACACTTGGTGGTGAAAGTTAGGCCAAGAGTGTAGTACCTACATGAACTTTTTCTTCCTTGTCCTTGGTTTCTTAGATCTCTTGCACAAAGGCTTAAAACACATCCAATTCGACAATCTAACTAATAAACCAAGAGACGAAAACGTTAAGGGATGAATCATACATTGGTTAAATACCGAAATATAAATAAATATATGAGTTTGAATTATTCCTCTTTATATATTGAGCTCTTAAGATGAAATCAGTTGTAGATGAAGGCCTCTATTTTTTTCTTTAATTTAGGACAACAAAAATGTGTTCTGTATTCAATTTTATCCATATGAAACATTGGTAACAGGATAAAAATAAATGCGAATACACACACACACACACATATCCATTCCACATGATCATTAAAATTTAATTCTATTCATGGCTGACAACGTATTCAAATTTTTTTTTTTATAAACTTAGTATAGACGTTTTGATACATACTTAGCTCATGAAATGTCAAGTTATGCTTGGGAAACAGGCCAACGTAGGCCCTGTTTTTCCCCGGGGCAGGCACCCAACCAATATGTGTACCCTTGGAAAAACAGGGCCTATGTGGCCCTGTTTGAGAAGAATTATTGTGAAATGTCTATATACACATGCTTGTTTATCTAAAAATCTCAGTGTTGACATCGTATCATTTGTTGCCATCAATCATATGTCCATCATTTGGAGTCATTATCTAAACCATAATCAAGCAATCCTGAGTCTCTGAGAAATCTACCAGGATTTTGACCATTCTTTCTCCTTTGAACTTCACATAATAAACCTGACAGTATCAATAAATGTCGAGAATCTATCAGAATTTTTAGAATATGTTGCCGTTATCTAAAATTAAACTGTTCAAATTTTAGATAATGAAAACAGATGATGCATGTCAACACTGAGAATTTGGATAATCACGTGTGTGCATATATATACATTTTTTTTTGGGCATATATTATCTAGCCATGAATAGAATTTTGTTATTATGTATCATGTGTATCTACAGGTTTTTTTGGTGAGTTAAGCTACGCGTACATGATTTGTTTGCCAAAATTCTTACAGATGCACACTTGTCAAGATTTGATTCGTAGTTAGTAAAAAAATAAAAAGAAAAAAAAATACCAATCAGGTGTAGTTAGGGATGACAATCAAGCTCGTCGGCTCGGGCCGTCCGTTACTAGGCTCGGGGCTCGGTAGACCCGAGCCTAGGCTAGGGCCGAGCCCCATTTTGGGGACACGGGCTTTACCCGAGCCGGCCCTTGAGCTCACGAGCTTTTAAAAAAAAATTAAAATTTTGAGGCTGCTGCCTTTTAAGGCAGTAGTTTACCAGCAAAAAAGCTCGGCCATTTTAACCGGGCCGAGCCCGAACCGAAACTTTAGGCTTGTAAGCCGGCTCGGTCCGGCTCGTTTACATCCCTAGATGTAGCTATTGTTAAACAATAACAATCAACTTTAACTATTTATTAACCTATTTTCTCATCAAATGAAGGTTACGAAATCAATTTGATTGATTTTTCGATCAAAAGTACAATGTGAAATCTTTGATTTTTTCCTCTTCTTCTGTCCCTATCCCACTTGTAAAGAATCTATAAGGAAAAAGGCTTGTATACTTGGTTGGCTTTTTCCACTTTAGGTATCTATTTCCAATTATTATGTTACCATCTCGTAAGATATTTCTGTTGTCCAAAATAATAATCAAGATATTATTGCTGCCCCGCTCCAAGATAACAAGGGTTCTAGATTTTTCCATTTTGCCACTTAACTTTCTGTAAAATCTCAAATAGGTTACTTAATTGTAATTTGTGACAATCAAATTAATCACTTCATTAATCCCTTTACTAAATTTAACGTTTCAATCCTCCACTAGTAGCATGTTTAGATAAATAGACATTTAATCATGTTATGGAGGCAAAATCTTTAAATTTGGTATAAATAAAATGTTTGCTCCGTATTGAATTGTTGTCAATTTTTAAACACGGTTTATTCTCAAATTTTAGAATCACGACATAATTGGACTACGTGTTCATTGCAAACACAAGACATGTCACATTGTGGTCAATTTCTAATATCAACATAAGAGCCTAAGAATTATTTTCAATGTGGGTAAATTTCATTTTTGGTTGTTGAACTTTTCGGGAAATTTCAAGTCAACTATTAAACTTTTACTCGTCTTAATTGGATCTGGTTTTACATTGACTTAATAAAGTCACAAGACTTCTATTTAGTTTCAACTGGATCATTCAACTTCAATTTTGTTTTAGATTTTATCACTCAATTACCGACCCTCCAAGTTGAAGAAAAATAATTAATTAACAATCATATCACAATATATCTTCATAAAATCAACGTGTTACGTGCCAACTACAACTATTGCACGTACAAAAAATGTTAAATAAAAAAACTCATTATAGAACCTTTTAATCTAAACATATTGCAATAACTCTTGTGTTTCATTTTCGTTTTCAAGATACTAGTAGGTATTTGGGAAAAAAATAAGTTTAGTGACTCGATTGGGATAAATCAAAATTTAGTGGCCTAATTAAAATTTTAATAAAAGTTCAATGACTGTTGATGAAATTTACCCTGTAAAATCACTATCTTATACAGCTGTACTTGACAGAGGACCACAATTAATACGAAAGCCACTTGTCTAAGCTTAAGAACACAGGAGTGAAAAGACAGACTGATGTATTAAAAAATAATTGAGTGTTTTTGTTTTAATTTTTCAAATTGTCAAATCATGTATCTTTTGTGTACAGAAGTGTACAGACGATAGGGGGAACTCGTGATCCAATTGAGGTATAACCCGCGATTTACCCCCTCCAAAATTCTAGGAACAAGGATCTTGGGGGGTCCAGAATTTAGTCTAGTGTAAATTGGGATACATAGATATTAAAAAAAAAAGGGATTATAAAGATTTTTCTTCATTTGAGGGTTTGTCATTTTCAGTAAAAATAATGCCTGATAGAATCTTCACCACAGATTCTTTGCATCCCATCACTTCAATTCTTTATATTTTTAGCTGATTCTCTTTATCTTTATTTATATATTTTTTAAATTTACACTTTCCGTCCTCAATCTTTGGAATCTACCCCCAACCTTTTTTACCACCAAATATTCCCTAACCTTTCACATAACAACAAATCACGTCCCCATTGACACAGTTTGTGAGAAACAATCGTTTTATCATCCATGTACACCCTGCATGTTATTTCATTTCTCTCATCGTGTCTGAGACCAATGAAACCCAACTTTACGGTTGAAAATTGCCCACCAGACACCAAACCCTTTTTTTTGTTCTAGAATCGAATGAAGAAGATGACGAATTAAATTCAATGCCGCTTTCTCTGATAGAGAGCGTCTTCTTCTTTTTCATTTGATTCTTGAACCAAAAAGAGGGTTTGGTGTTGATGCTAATATGCACACGAAAAGCTAGGGATTCAAACTTGAAAGGAAGCTTTTCGTGGATGTACCGTTTGCCCCTTTCGACCTCAGATGCTGTGGAAGAAGTGAAATAATGTGTAGAATGTATGTAGGTGAGATAATGACAATTTCTCAAGAATTCTGTGAATAGAGACGTGATTTCCAATTAAGTGAAAGTTAGGAACATCTAAGGGTAAAAAAATGATAAGGGTATATTAGTAACTGATTGTAAAAGTTGGGGAGTAAAGTACAAATTTCCTTATTTTTTAGAAAAAAATACAAGTCCACTCTACATAAATTTATTCCATAACCCAATATTTTAGTCATTGCAGACAAGTGCCATGTCCTGTGTCTGTGTATATTCAAAGTAAGAACAAATGTTATTCCAATAATACATGGCTAAGGTCAAAGGCTTCTTGTATGGTGTATGTTTTGTAAGCTCAGTTGCTCTTAATTTCTTCTTTGTAACCAACTCTCTTTTTGCTGGTTATGAGAATAAGCAGTTGAGTTGGAGCCAAAGGGCTGCTGCAGAAGCTGAAGCAGTGGCCTCAGTCTCATGCTCTGGCCATGGAAGAGCATATTTGGATGGTTTAATTGTTGAAGGGAAACCAGTTTGTGAATGCAACACTTGCTATGAAGGTCCTGACTGCTCTCAATTCTTGCCGGACTGCGCTGCTAACGCAGAAAGGTACAAATCACTCCCCCTCTCTATATCGTGCGTCTGAACTCATTTTCAATCAGATTTAGATGAGTCTGGCAAGAACTCATAATCTGGTAATGAATTGTTGATCATATTTCATTTAAAAAAACCATTTTTTAACAATTCATTTGATAACTAGTGGGAGGCGACCATATTAATTAAAGTTTGTTAGGTCCAAATTGTATTGGCTAGTTCTGTGCCCAAAATCATAGTTTATTGAGTTGTAATTGAAGTAAAAGAGTTGAAGGTTCGAAATATGTTTTGAAGGTGTCAAAGACGGAACAATGAGAAAAAATCGCAGCAAAAACGCTCACTTCACGTCTAGCCACCACTAGAGTGGACGTGTGACCGCTTGAGCATACTCATTATTTGGCAACCCTAGTTTTGCGATTTTCAACAGAATTTAGAGTCCCAAACACTACATATTTTATAAATCCAAGGCCATAGTTTGTCCCAAACATTTCTGAAAATTAGTTGAGCCTTTATTTCAATCAAGATAAAACCTACAGAAATAAAATACATATTCTATAAATCTCTTGTCTCAACCTCAAGATCAAAACACAAAAGATCCAAAAATCAAATCTTCTACCAATAATCCTTTATAGCGAAGTTCAAGAGAGGTAGCTGGAGTTCCAATTGGAGAAGAACGAGGTTCATTCTTCGGTGATTTACAGATTGAATGGTCAAAGTTTACTAAGATTAAGTTGTGTCCAGACCAACTATAAGTTATTTTTTCTAGTGGATCGTTTTCACAAGGCTTGCCTAGAGGTTTTAAATCCTGTGAAGAATTCTTCAAAGATTTTTCCTTTATTACCATATTTGATGTTGATTTACTCTTCTGCTTTGCCATATGTCTCTTGATGGATAATTAGAGTTTAATTGGATTTAACTCTTCTTTCCATGACCTCTCTTAATTGAGATGAGAGGAGATTCAATGCTTACCAATGCTTCCATGAATTTGATCATGGTTTACAATTATAGCTTCCATATCTGTTTGTTTTCTTAAACATCTAGAGACAATAATTTGTGACTTGTTACTTATTATTATTTATTATTTTTAAATTTCTCATTATGCATCTATTCACTCCCTCAAGATTTTATTTGATCTAAGCATCAATTATTTCAAACTCAAACCAATATGTATTATATGGCAGATCCAATTGTCAGCACTGGCCTAGAAATAGTCCACTTGCCAACTTATAATCCTGTTAAAGATTATATTGATGTGACTACTGATTAATCCAATGGACCGGTCAATAGGGTGACGCCACATTGACCCCCTTATAGGTAGGGCCTACGTGGGCAAAACCCTAATCCAATTAGTGACTCTCCCCGTGGACAACATAGTGGGATCTCTTCGGATGTGACTTTCATGATTAATTAATCAACATAGTAGATAACTAGAAAAACAAAATACTGCAAGAGAACATAGGCTATAATCCAATAAAAAATGTGATTATATATCTAATTCTAATATAGTTGCTTGCTCGACAAGTGAACTGTAGAGAGTATTAGAAAAAGAAAAAGTATACTTATGTCGAGTTAAGCATACCAACCAACCAAGATTGACAATAAATTTATCTAATGCAGTGGGGATCCATTATTTTTGGAGCCCTTTTGGATGCAACATGCAGAAAGCAGTGCAGTCATAGTTGCAGGATGGCACAGAATGAGCTATGTATTCGCAGATCATACTTCAATATCACAAGTGCTTCAAAACCACATTCACAAAGTCCATTCCATTGCCAGAAATGCAATTACAAAAGGAAAATACATTGTTTTTGGTGTTGGCTCCACTCAACTCCTCTCAGCTGCAGTTTTTGCTCTTTCCCTCAAATCATCGTCACTTGCAAGGGTCTTTGCATCATCGCCTTATTATCCGGTTCGTATATTTACAATCTTCACTTTCAGGAAAAATTCTTGCAACTATTGAAGAACCTGGAATCCACGATCCACAGGTATATAAAACGCAAACGGACTTCTTCGAAACTGTTCACTTTGAGTTTCAAGGAGATGCATCGGTGATGAAAAATACTTCAGATTCTGGTGGAAATGTGATTGAATTTGTAACTTCTCCAAATAATCCAGATGGTCATTTAAGAAAGGCGGTTCTACCATCAGCGAACGCCATTTATGATCGTGCCTATTACTGGCCGCATTTTACAGCAATTCCTGCACCAGCAGATGAAGATATCATGATTTTCACAATTTCCAAGCTCACCGGCCACGCTGGAAGTAGATTCGGGTAATCACAGACTTACCTTTCCAGCTCTTCACTATTCTTATATTCTCGAAAATCTTAAACAGCCGGAATATTTCGATCTTTCGGTCGATTTTTTCCGCCTTTCACTAAATTTTAATTGCGGGGTGGGGTGGGTTGGGGAAATAGAAAATTACAAGGAATTTTTTTGAAAGTCTCGTGTAAAATCTTGAAAAATCTATTGCAAAATCTTGGATTTCAACTTTAGTGTGGGGACAGTGGACCACTGATATTCTAGCTACATTTGACAGAAGATTCCAGTATTTCTTAATGCAGATGGGCTTTAGTGAAGGATAAGGATGTTTACCTTAACATGTGCGAGTATTTGGAACTGGCAGAAATGGGCGTCTCAAGGGATACTCAGTTGAGAGCTCTCCAACTTCTCAAAGTAGTTCTTGAAGGTGATGGCAGCGAAATATTTCACTTTGCATATGAGAAAATGAGGGACCGGTGGGAAAAGATTAGCCAGACTGTATCATTTTCGAAGCGTTTTACTATCCAAGAAATTCCACCTCAATACTGCAACTTCTTTGAGAAAATCAGGGGTCCATCTCCAGGTGATCTTCACTTGACACATTCATTCCCGCACATGAAAGTTAGATTTTTGGTTCGTCAAATTTTGGCATGGTTTTGAAAAATCAAAAGGAGCTTTTGAAATTCAAAAGTTGCTTTTGGACTTGTTTGACTAATTTTATGAAACTGCTTCGGATAGTTAAAAGAGCTTTTAAAGGAATCTGATCCGTTGTGGCTTCCCCTAAAACCAAATAAATGTGTGTGTGGCTCTAGATAGGAAAACTTTCAAAGCTGACAGTTTTATACTAATGATCACAGCATATGTATGGTTGAAATGTGAGAGGGAAGAAGACACAAATTGCAATGATGTCCTAGGTGCAGCAAACATCATAGGTCGTTCGGGTAGGTTGTTCAATTCTGAAGATCGCTATGTACGTCTCAGCCTTCTTAAGAGCGATGATGACTTCAACTTGCTGCTATATCGTTTGAAAGAACTTGTTACCAAGGAAAATGGCACAGAAACAATGTGTTGCTGATGATCAATATCTGATTGATTGTTCAGCATATTATCATTGTGCAAGTAATAAAATAATGTAATTATCATATCTTGATGGAAAGTTCAATGCATACTGACCTTCTGTATGCTAAAACACATCCGGGGAGATTTCAGTATTTGATATCCGCACCTGTAAATTTCTTGAACTGCCCTATATTGGTTGCAAGTTGTAAGGTGTCATGAAACGATCTTTATCTTGAAAGTTCAGATCTTTTACTGCATAGATGCAGATAAATTGAATACAAATAACTTCTATAGAAATGAAGCCCCTTTTTGACTATCATTATTTGGGAAAAACTATGTTTTGAATAATGATTTTTAGGATAATGCATGGTTAGAAATGAAAGAAAAGTTTTGAATTTACGTGTAGAATATTTTTTTGTGTGAATGTATTGTTGAAAATGAGTGTGTAGAAAAAAAGTTTTCAAATAATAGATGTCAAACATGGGCTAAGCATGCAAGTAGCGATGATGATGCACTAGGCGATTAGCTAAACAGGATGCCGGTTAATTTTTTTGGGCTCTACTTGAGACATCTGAAAGAAGTAAAAGTCCAACAAGACCAGAAAATTCCACCTTATAAGGTAAACTTTCAAGTGCAAACTGGTGTTATTATTCGTTCGTCTTGTTCTCTACAAATACTGACTTTGGCATTATTGGAGAAGCGAAGAACTTCGCTCATTTTTTCAGGTGCTATCGACACCATAAGAAAACCATTATGTTGAGGAAAAATTAAGTCCCACAAGGAAATCCTCATACTCAAGTTTTGTCCACAACTAGCTTTATTTAAAATTATGTTAGTTGTACATCATTTGTGTACAATTTGGATCGTATTTAATAGGTGGCAAAATCGAGGTCATTGATTATTTAAGTGTTGGAGAAATCAATGGTAAAATTATGTGCCACATGGTAAAATGTAAAACAGAATGTCAATTTGAATGTATGTATAACAAAATTGCTTTATTTAACAATGTTTTCAAAATTGACTCGATCATTGACTTGAAAATGTAAATGGGTTAAGGGCCAAAAGGTCAAACTAGTGTAAAACTTAGGTTGAACTAGTTGTAATAAAAAATATATATACATACTAGAAAAACAAGTTAATTTTCAAATTAATTAATATATAGAGATGAAAAACAAATATATATACTTTGCTACATAAAATTTTCATTATGCCCACTTTTAATATCAATAGAGAATGAGACAATAAATATAGCAAAATCTTCAACTCATTTTAGTGTAATATAAAAATAAAATTAAACAAGTACAACATAATTCGATTATGAAGATCAATATTTCTAAATTATTTAACAACCTCATTCAATTAGAATTAAATTAATTCTTACATCTGATTTGACTATATTTTTATGACAGTTGCGACTATATAAGAATGCATTTGTGATTTATGAATACTTAAAAATCACGTAAAGTATAATAGTATATTTCTATTCCAATTAAACTCTACGATAATTGACACTATATCCAACTTATTTCTATCCCTTATCAATCTTTCAAAGGTAAAATAAGGTACCAAATTTATACAAGAGAAGCATAAACTCATGTCAATTATTCAAAATTAAAAACGTGCTTTGAATGTCAAAAATAAATAAAATCAAGAGTTAAAAATTTATGATACAAGATTCATCATAATCCCAACTCAAAATTAGTTAAGCCTAACATGCTCAGGATGATGATGATGATGATAATTCATCACCCAAAATTCTTGAATTTGATATTTAAATTTCTTGAATTCGATCTTACGTTCTTCTCAATCAATTCTCCCCTAAATATGTGTTGATAATTGGCTTTTATGCTAGTCTTCGAGAGGACCCATCCATATTCACTCAGTTATAACGCTATTTCCCAATTTTTACATTTTGGTCCTCATCTTCATTATTTTCTTGATTTTGTACATTTCACTTTGAATTAGTTCTATTTTGCCCCTTCTTGCATTAAATTTGAACCCATAAAAATTTTCAATCTTCATTTTGTGGTCCGAATCAACCATTAGAATGTTGTAATTTAGTCCCCATACTTTGTATTTTGTCATTTTTTGCTAATTTTTACTTCTTTCTTTCATTTTATCTTCCAAAATACACAATAAATTTGGCCATAATTTATCAAAAAATTTTGAAATATATATATTTAAAGCCCCGAACAAGTGTATAAAGTACACTTATCCCATATAGCACTTCATGTCACATAACATTTAGTTTCCTCTTGTACTATTATGTCGTGCCCCAAGACATCAAAGAGAAAGTTAAACCTCGGTTATATACAAAACAAATATCCCAAGACTTCTTGTTAACTATTTACATTTTTGTCTTCAACAAGCTTGGTTAATTGCAACAAGATTCACTTTTTGATCAATCATCTTAAGGGTGCACAATTTTTATTGGCAGCAAGATGGAACCCCAAGCCTTTTATGTGGCTCTACTACCATCTAATACTCTCCCATAGGTGATTTGCAACAAATGATACCAAAGCAGGATGCATGAAACACTGCGCCACGTACAGATTGCAATTTTGGTTTGCAAGCAATGGAAACTATGGCGAAAGAGGATTTGGGCATGGTGCAACGGGATGGGTGTAACAGTGAATGAGCTTATTTTCATGCTTGTTCGCTTTGTTCAAGTTCACGGTAGTTAGTACTTCAACATGTGGACAAGGACGAAAAGTTATATATATTCATTTAAATATGATCTTCAACATATTCAACCATATCAAAACACATAATTAGCTTGCCAAATGTCTAAAAAATGCAAGAAATGAAAGTTTCAAAAACCAAATATGAGAAGCTATGCTTTCTAATTACTTCAGCTAAACATAATTATATGAAATCGAAATTGGCTTGTGCTTTGAAACAAGAAGCTTAAGATGCGTTTGGTTTGTTATTCTCAAGCTATTCTTAGTTTTGAATTTTGCAAAATACTAAAAACATATTTGGTATGATATTTTTGAAAATACATTTTTAACATTTTGAGTGTGCCTAGCAAAATATGAAAAATAAAAATTTAAATAAAATTTTATTAAATAAATTTTAAAAATTGAAAATTTTACAAAATAAAAACACAAATTCTAACAATAAAATTTAAAAATGTTAAAAAAATAAAATCGATAAATTCTAAAAAAAAATAAAATTTATAAAATAAAAAATAAAAATTTTAGCAAAATAAAATTATAAAAATTCTCAAAAAAATTAAAAAAAAAATAGTTCAAGATATTAATGGTATTTGCATAAAAAGTCAAGAAAAAATATTGTAAAATTCACCAACTTTAAAATGTATATATTACTTAATAAAATATTAACATATGATTATTCTATTTTTATTGAATAATTAAATTTTAATGAATAAAATGTTATAAAATTCAAAATTTCAAATGAAACATGTTTTCTAATTTTCTATTTTGAGAAATAATTTTACAAAATGACATACCAAACGTATTTTTAGCAATCTTAAAACAGCCTATAGAAACAAAAAACTCAAAATAAATTCAAAACTCAAAATTGAAAACTGAAACATAAACAAAACGAGCATTTAGCTTCATTCTACCTCTACCCACGACAGGGTAATCTTGAAAAGTAACTTAAAGTAAATTTAAAATAGATATTTTTATTGACAAATAAGTTATTTAGATAGTAAAATAAGAATTATTTTTGAAAAAGGTAACTAGTTTACTTATTTTGTACTATGTAATCTGTGTTACTAAGCTGGCCATTGACATATATTTTAGTAAGAACATGTTTGTCACTTTGTCTAAACCTAAAATAAAATCATATTTTAATTCTAAAGGTGTGGAACCCTTCGTACAATTTACCCTATGGATAAAGAAGCCTGCTACAAAACTCGGGTTTAAATCCAGTGTCAAAATAACAACATCTCAACTTGCGATCTCGACCAACAATCAAGGGTCAAGGTGGTGCCAACACCTCGGCCAATCAACAGGACCTATCATAGGCCCTATTTGAATGGCAAAACTCATGGATAAAACTCCATTACTAGGGCCACATAGGCCTTGGCATTATGGCCTGGTAATACTAGGGGGCCCATTCAAATAGGGCCTATGATAGGTCCTGTTGATTGGCCGAGGTGTTGGCACCACCTTAACCCCCATTGGCCCCCTGTGATAGGTGGGGGGATATAGCAGGTTCTTTACCCTATTGCTTTATTAAAAAGTTACACATAATTTCCATATTTTAAACTTATTTAAAAATGTCAAATGTAATTATTTCATAAACTTAGCTGAAAAATCATTTTTCTTTGGGAGTGGCAATTTTAGTCACCATTTTTATATATCTATCCATTTTATTGACATCTACTAATATTTATCCTCATTAAATATTTTTCCTGGACAAATGCCGGAAACTAAAGAAGAAATATCCACCACCAAAATGGGAATACCAATACTCTAAAGGTAAGTATGTTAAAAGTAGAGCGAAGTATCTTGAAGAAACTATTGGTAATACGAATCTAAATAAAAAAGGAAGATGAAGTTAATTCGTCAAAATCACATGAGAATGCAGCAGTTAGTACTCACCAATTCTCTGATGAAAGCAGCCATGTTAGTGTAGTTAAAATATATTCTATTGTACCTTGTGAAACTATTGACTCCAAAATCGATGAAGCTATTGTATTTTGTCCTTTTACTCTCTATTTTCTTATGAATCCAATAAGGTGATCAAAATACCCATGTTATAAGTGAACAGGTGAAGATCAGGTTAACATTTAACAATTTTGATTGAGCAGGGTCCAGCTTGCATCTAAATTGAACGTTTGGGCTTTGAAGGAAAAAATATTTAAATTAAGTGGGGACTAATGTGCTTCAGGTTTTAAAGTTTGAGGACTGCACCTGCAAATTTCCATAAAACAATAAAATTTGGAGAGTTATAAGACGAGTGTTAAATATGTTTCAAGCATCAAATTTATCTTTTTCAAACTAAAGTCTAATATGCCTGCTTGAGTCAAATGAGTTATTCTTGGGTGACTCAGTGATATTCCCCGAGTCAAATCAACCATCTCACCGATCTTTTTTTAACACGATTGAGGAATCGACCTTTATTTTATAAGAAGTTTTTAGCTTCTCCCAAAGAAAATGAGAAGCCAAAAATGCTAAGTACTCAACACAAAAGGTTCAAAAATACTTGTAATCACAGAGCAATTTCAAACATCCACGAAGAGATTGTCATTTTGGTGAAACAACATCAATGGCAAGAATTTAAATTAAATTTAGTATGGAGGGACGATGATAGTGAAC